TTGCCCCCCCCCGGGCGGCCCTGGGTGTGTGTGTGTGTGTGTGTTGCACCTGCCCTGCCTGACTGCTGCCCCCTTCCCTGGTCCAGGGACCTTACCCCTCCCTGGACCCTATCACATTGCTCCCCACCCCCCCCCGGGCTCCCTGCGGCCCCTGTGTTTGTGTGCTGGACAGTCACATCCAATCCCTTCATACTGCCCCCCTTTCCTCTCCCTGGCTTAGTTCATAGCCCCAGAAAATCCCTTCAAACTGTGCCCATTTTCCCCTCCCCTTATTTCATGGGGGGATGACGAACTGAGAGGGTGGGTGGGCAGGTAGTGGCGGCGAGGCTTTATACTTGGGGGGAGGTGAGGAGGCGAGCGGCGAGTCGGTGGCTGGAAGGACGCATCCATTTTCAGTATTTTAATTTTTGGTACTGCTGTGTGCAGTAATATAGTGACCCCTGGGGATTAAAGAGGGGTGTAATGGTGGGGCTGAGCAGGGAGGGGGCGGGTCCTATTCTACTGCTGTGATCTGGTTACCCTATGCGCGCCGTTTCTTTCCCCCTCTACAGGCTTCCACACACTGTCAGTGCCTTGCTAGTGTGCCACGCGCCGTGAGAGATCTCTTCTCTTTGTGTGTGACTGAGTGTTTTCCTTGTGTGTGAATTTATTCAACAAAATCTTGAGCTTCATAATGGCTACCATGAGTGAAAAGAAAAAGAGAAAAATAGAATCAGAGCACAGAGTTTTCAACACTGAATGGACAAATAAATACTTATGTACTGTTTCCAAAGACAAAATACTGTGCCTTGTGTGTCGCGAAACGTTAGCCGTTCCGAAAGAATACAACCTTCGGCGGCACTTTGAAACTAAACATCCCAATCTCGCCAAATTGAACCCAAATGAAAAAATAATTAAAGCAGCCAGTTTAGTGAAAAACCTTAGTGGAGAACAGCAAATTTTCAAGAAAGTGAGCACTGAGAATGATACAGTTACTAAAGTAAGCTTTCAAATTTCTAAGGAAATTGCTGCTGCTAGGAAATGCTTCCCAGAAGGCGAGTTTTTAAAAAAGTGTATGTTGATTGCTGTATCTGAGTTATGTCCAGAAAAGAGGGGAATATTTGAGAATGTCAGTCTATCACGCATGACTGTACAGAGAAGAATAGCTGACATTTCTACTAATCTAAGTGATCAGTTAAAGCAGAGAGTCAGTGAATTCTGCTTTTACTCCCTAGCTATGGATGAAAGCACCGATTTAAAAGACACCGCCCAACTTCTTATTTTTATTAGAGGTATTGATAAAAACTTTGAAATTACTGAAGAACTTGTTGGCATGTGCTCCATGATGGGTCGCACAACTGGAAAAGATATCTCCAGTGAAGTGATAAAGTGCATGAATGATAAGTTGGGGGTAGATTTCACAAACTTGGTGGCCATTTGTACTGATGGTGCTCCAGCTATGTGTGGAAAAAATGTTGGAGCAGTTACTCTTCTTGAAGAATTTATTGGGAGACAAATAACCAAACATCACTGCATTATACATCAGCAGGTTTTGTGTAGCAAAGTCTTAAAATTTGAGCATGTAATGTCAGTGGTAGTTTCCATTGTAAACCTCATCCGTTCTAGAGGACTAAAACATAGGATATTTCGAGCCTTTCTTGAAGGGGAAGACGCCGAGTGCAGCGACTTAATCTACCATACGGAAGTGAGGTGGTTGAGTCGAGGAAGAGTGCTCCAGCGTTTCGTTGCTTTGAAAGAGGAGATAGCAAAATTCCTAGAAAATGGGCCAATAAAATTCCCGGAGCTTGAAAATGAGTCCTGGAATCAAGATCTCTTTTTCTTTTGTGACATTACAGCACACCTGAATGATCTCAACATTCAACTTCAGGGAAAAAATCAACTTATATTTCAAATGTGTGCAGCAGTGAAAGCTTTCAAAATGAAATTGAAACTTTTCAGAAGTCAGCTGTCAAAAGGTGAAATGTGTCACTTTCCCACTTGTGCACAGAATATCCCTCAGAACAAACACGCTGAGTTAGGAGAAAAATACGCAAAGCACATCAATCTTTTGATTGAAGAATTTGACAGAAGATTTACTTTGTCTAAAGATGATGACATCCAGTTGAAGCTGATTGAAGATCCCTTTTCTGTGGATCCAGAGGAAGTGACACAAGATTTGCAGTTGGAGGTTATTGAACTTCAATGTTCGGCAGTTTACCGAAATAAGCACAGAGAAAGCAGCCTGTGGGACTTCTACAAAAGTCTGGACGATGAAAAATACAAGAATCTTATTGAAGTTGCACTGAAAACGTTCAGCATTTTTGGAAGCACTTACATATGTGAACAAACATTTTCCATCATGAACATGAATAAAAACAAGCAACGTTCTTCTCTGACTGACGACCATTTGGAAGACATTATGAAAATATCCACTTCAAATATGACCCCCGAATATGACAAGCTTGTTGCCGAAAAGAGATGTAATATCTCTCATTAAATTTGCAAGATAATTATGAAAAGTACAAATGTTTTCTTTCAACGGAACAGGTGTTTTTCATTTTTCCATGATTCATAAAAAAAATTAAAATAATTTAAAAAATTGTTTGCTTTAATTGAAAAATTCTTAATAAAGTATCACACCCTCCCCCCCCCCCCAAAAAAACCCTTCCTTTTCGGCCCACAGCTGTTTCGGCGGGGCGGCACTGGGGAAGGAGGGTTTGTTTCCGCGGTGCGGGCAGCGCTGGGGTGGGGGATGTGTTTCGGGGGGTGTAGCAGGGTGGTTACCCCGCTCCTGCCCTGAAGGGCTTAAAACAGCCTTGGGGGAGGGCTGTGGCAGGGGAAAAGCTGAGCTGATTGGGGAAGCCGCTTCAGCTGGGCCATGCCACAATCAGGCCCCAGCTGGCCTGTATAAAAAGGCTGTGAGCCAGAGGCCCAGAGGAAGTCTCTCTCTGCTTGTAGAGAGAGAAGGGTCTGGCTGCTAGGGAGTTGAGCAGGGTACTGGGAGTGGAGCAGGGCTGGGGAAGGCTAGAGGAGCTGGGAAACTCCAGCCTGGAAAATCCCCAAGCTGCGGACCTAGCTAAGGGCCTAAGACCAGTACCAGGGCTGCAGAGGGGCAGCCCAGCTATAGAGGGAGGCAGCAGGTCCAAACCCAACCTGGCCTGTGATGAGTGGCTGATATACCCCAGGGCGCGGGGGCTAGTTAGTGACTGGCAGTAGCCTTATACTGAGGTGAGGTGGGGATTAGAGGATTGGGGGTTCCCCAGCGAGAGGAGACCAAGAGTCAGAGTGTGGGGGTATTGCCAGGGGGCAGCACCCCAGATCAAAGAGCACCAGGGTCCAGGAAGGACACAGAGCCAGCGGCAGTGGGACACCGGCCTGCAGAGGTCGCTCCAACGGCTGGATGAGCTAATTCCCGAGAAGACCAGCAGGAGGCGCCGCTGGGGTGAGTCCTGCTTGCTTACACGGGGGCTGGGCGGCGCTGGGGGGGCGATGGGGTTCGGCGGGGCTGGGTGGCGCTGGGGGGGGGGCGTGTTTCAGTACGGCCGGGGGGTTTCGGCCCTCGGCTATTTTCTTTGGAGTAATATGGCCCTCGCCGCTTTACGAGTTGTGCAGGCCTGGTTTAGGAGATTAAAAACATGTCTGTTGCACCTGGGATGTCCTCTTTGGCTGTGTGCCATTTCTCCTCCCTGCTTCTCACTGGAGCTGCCATGTCATGGTTGTTTTCCAGGCGGCTTTACAAGCAGTGGGTATTTACAGTGCTATATGACTGGTTTCTTTTCTCACTGATTATTACATACATGAAAGGCTGGGCATGTCAGCAGAGTGTCAGTTGACTTGGAACACTGCAGTATGACCATGGGGCAATGCTCCCCTTCCCTCCTGCATGTAATTGTACAGGAGAGGAAGTGGCTGCCCGTTTGGTGACCATATAAATAAATTAACTTGTTTGTGCTTGAAGAATGCAAAACAACAATTTTTACTTCGCTCTAGCAGGAGGTCGGTGCGGGTCTTTAACTTATAGGATTTAAGTGCAGTAGCAAGATCAGCATCCCTACTAGGAACTGCCTTTTTATAAAAAGCAGAGACAGGCAGCAATTCAGCACACAAACAGATTTACAAGCAGCTTGTGGTGTTCTGATTGGAACCAATTCTAACTGGATTGACCGGCTCTTGTTGCAGTGAGTCAGGCTATGCTGAACATCAGCTTCAGGTCACTGTAGTAGTATGAGAGGAGAGGAATATCTTGAGCGCTTTTAGTATAGAGGCAACTGTCCCCCACCCTTTAAGCTGTCCCAGTCACAGCTACAGAATTCAGGAGATAGTAACATTCAGATGACCACACAGACTTTTAGATACTACTACAATCGAAGTGGCCCACTTTTTCAGATCTGGGGCTGGTGGTAATCATCACTGTGAAAAGCCAAGCCCTACTATTGTTTCTGATTTGCAGACAAAGAAGTATGCTGATGTGATTATTCCTCGTGGAGTCGACAATATGGGTAAGGGATGCTTACTGCTGTAATTGAACTCTGCACATGAAGTCAGATCCCCAAATTCTCCTACTGAACACTGTTGTAAAGTGGAGGGGGCAGTGCTTAGAAACTGACTTTGTTTGAATCAGGACTATAGGTTTTAGCATTATGTTGTTGGGATCTGACCCCATTACACTGGCTCCAAATGCAAGCAGCACCATTGCAATAAAGAGTAGCTGGTTCACACGTTGACTCAGACTGGGCTGTTTGAGCAGGTGTCTGTGACAAAGAGCTCGGCCAACCACGTGCATGTGTCAGATACTTACTCTTCTTTTCGCAGTTGCTATAAACCTCATTGTGCAGCACATCCAGGACATTTTGAATGGCGACATCTGCAAGTGGCAGAGAGGGGCGATGAATGGGCATGGTCGGACATACAAGCGATCGTTTCCTGAGCAAGCAGAGGGCAACAGCTTGCTGGCAGCTGGCAAACGATCTCATCTGGAGTCCAGCAGCCGTCCCCACTAACCAGGTGGGGGTCTGAAGAAGTTGCCTCTGTTCCAGACCAACCTTTTTAACAAACTGGTTTGTGACGTGCCCATAGTAACTTAGGGGCAGATTCAAGAGGGTTGTGTGTGTATCTTCTCATGGAAGGAGCTGGATTATTGACCCAGGACCTGGTGTTAGATGGCATGGTGTGCTGAAATCCCCCTAGGAATTAAACCCAGTGGGATACAAGATTAATAATCTCCCCTCATGGTGCTTTTCCTTAGCAGCAAGGTTAGCTGCCAGGAAAACAGTTCTTTGCTCCAAGTGAGACGCAGCAAAGAGCCTTGTTTTTAAACAAGCAGGTACAGGTCCCCAGCTGCCCCCTGAGATTTCCCTTCTCCAGAGATCTGGCATTGCCATGGACAGAAGGGCCACAGTTCACCCTTCTGTGTGGGGAAAAGGACTGACCTCTGCAGTTGTGCCAATAATGAGAAGTCTATTTTACTCAGAGCTGAGGAAAATTAGGCTTCTCTTGGGCAACAGGCAACTTACAGTCAGACAAAGGAGCAGTGGGGCTCCGCCTTCTAGTTGAGGTGTTTTGTCACTAGTTGCTGAGCCTAACTACACTCTATGTAGCGTAGGCTTCAGTTTTTGTGCCCCATGTCAGGAAGGCTGACCTTGGAGAACACTTCAGTACTAACTGGGTGCAGAGTCTGCTGGGCCGAATTCATTTGCAGACATGGTTTATAGTTCTCATTCCTTCCCCAAAGCAGCGTTAAAGCTCGGAGTGCTGTGGCACATCCTCAAATGAGCAGAAGAAAAGCTGCAAACTTAATGTGAAATCCCAGGCTCTAGCTTAGTGCTCCCTCTCTCAGTCCACTAGTGACATTTTAAAACAAACACCAATTGGTACCTCCTGTCTCTCATGTATAGTCTGTAAATGCAGGCTTAAGCCTAGCAGGAAAAATTGGTTATTGTTGAAGATGAACTTTTTTCATCTCTTATAAAAGCAAAGCCTGGCTCGAGTAGTTGTGCTGCTTTGACTAATAAACCAATGAAGAAACAACAGCCACATAGATGTAACCATTTTATATAAAAGTATTTTCACACCCCTCCCCCCACCAGCACAGACATACCCAAAGGGGTGTCTAAAGAGCAAAGGGAGCAGGAATGAACAAACAAATCCCTGTGTAGTGCTTTCAATCTCCTCTCAGCCATCTGGCCTTGGGCACTAGTGAGCTCTACTGTGTTGAGGTTAAGTTAGTTAAAGCTTCAGTGAAGTGTCACTAGGGTCTCCTCTGAATGCATCTAGTCAAGTATGAGTCTCCTCCCTCCAAAAGGTGGCAGCCTTGAACAAGAGGCTGGTGATTAGACCATGAGGAAGCACTACAGTAAACACTCTAGGCATCTGTTCTACACTAAATATCAAGGGTAGTTTGAGACATAATACTGTAGATTTGCAATGAGACTAACTCAGGCTATAGAGCAGAACAGAAACTGAGTCTTCCCATTACATCATCTGCCCCATAGGGATGCATCCCTAACCAATGTAAATTACAAGGCTTTTTACCCTGAGCCCCTATTAAGAAATGAGAGCAGAGTTACTTGTAAGCATGATCAGTTCTATCTTGACTGGCTCCACTAGTGTTTGCGGATCAAGATGTCCCAGCTGTCCTTCCAGCGCAGGGCCCTGAGCTCAGCTGCTGAGAGGGTAGGCTCCCCATATGTCAGTGGGCTGAATGTGCGATAGACCAGGTAAATGGAGGAGAACCAGGCTACCATCAAGGCACTGAACGCGTTCTTAGGGAGTTGGGATCTGGAGAGAAAGAAATGAAGTTAAAGCAAAGCTACCTCCATAGTCTAATAGCAAGAGTCTAATGTAGCAATTTGGAACTCTGCTACCTGTTAGACATGGAGACCCCAGGAAACAGGTTGTGTCTTCTCGCCTCCAAAGAAATGAACTGCTAAACAGGGCTGCAATTTACCTTGCCTGGCGCTGTACAAGCATTAACTGAGTAATTCTCTCCATGCCCCTCTGGGAGGCAGGGCAGCGTTACTACAGATGGGACATAATGCAACGTGCCCGAAGTCAGTGCTGCAGCTGGGACTATGAACCCCATCATTTCACTACCTTCATCCCCACTAATTAGAACTGCAGAACACCCTGTAGGCTTTCCTGGGTACCTGCAGAGGTGATCGGTCAGATGCTGCAGTACAACAGGAATCAGTAGAATTTGGAAAGTGAGAGCAGGCAGGTAGTGGTACAGGAAAAGTGTCTTCTCCATCATGAAAAAGGGGAGGTAATTCACAGCCCAGCCTCCCACGCAGAGTCCTCCAGCTGATACCCAGAGCCTCCATGCATCTACAAGACAGAAAGGGCAACACACTAATCAGAACTCCTGAGAGGGTCTGCTACCAAACACCCTGGAAACTAGCAACTGCAAGAACAGGCAATTTTTCAAAAGTTCTTAATGTTGCACACGTGGGAATGGCTAGATAACATTTCCCTAGCCACTTTGGCCAAAGGTTATGCTGTGTAAAACTGGGAATAGGATCTTTAGTGGTCATGCAAAGCAGACAGGACCTGTATGTATAAGGGCACCTCTAAAATACTCAGGGCAGGTGAGCGCTGATGGATTCCAAATCTGATCCTTTGAGCATTAAAGCATCCAGGAAATGCATCGATACTATATTCAATGTAATCTCCCAAAGAAAGGATGGTGCCCTGCAATAAAAATTTCTATCAGGAGAGCGCCCAGCTCGTCAAGCTAACCAGGGGAGATCTGTAGTTCTTTGACCATAGACAAGAATATCTGAACCCCAATTAGAATTCTCACAGCTTCTGTGCAGCAAGGTGTCAAACTGCTCTGTACAAGGCTACTTCTGTGGCTAAGGGATCAGACCTTCAGGGATGTCACAAATCTTCCTCCGTCGTCGAAGCAAATACCACAGGAACAGACACACGTATACAAGGGTTGCAACATTAGCTGAAGCCCAGGTGAGAACGTTCCCAATGAGGTGGATCTGAGCCTGTAGGATAAGAGGTGGAAAACAGCAGTGATTTTTTACTACAGAGAGAAGCCAAAAATTAAGTATTACATAGCTGTATACACCCCAATCCAAAAACTCAGCATTTACCTGACAAGCTGTGGCAATCCCCTATCCATCTGGCTATTGACAGTGGGGTGGCTGTATTATTTCGTCATTCATTTTTATATATGGCATTTGAAAGAAGCTGTCAGTGGTGGACTGATGTTCTACACTGGATCAAGTGAATATTAAGTAAACAACTCTCTTCTGCTAACACTTTAAGGGAAAATTGCAATTTAAGGAACAAAGCTGTCAAAAATTGTATCGAGTGCCTGCAGAACTCTCCAGTTTACTTTTCTACTGTTGGGCAGCGGGTTATACCAACTGTCCTATCTGGCATTGTAAGGAACATTTCAAGAGAATGTGGGAGGGGGAAAGGAAAGCTTCTATTAAATTAAAATGTGAAGTGTTTGTTTTACCAGAGGAGAAAATTATTTGCTTTGAAACTCACAACAGGTTCCTACCCACCCCTCTCTGTAAGAGACATCCTAGAAAGACACCAGGAGAATTGAGCCTGATCTCTTTCAAACATTCTCACCCCTTTCATATCTTCCATTTCAGACTTCACATAATCCAAATGAGCAAACCAGACTTAATACATGACACACATACTTACACCAGAGAGAGGGTGGAACCAGTAAGCGATGTTTGTATCCATAGTGATCCAGTCTAGGGGGGAAGAGCTATACTTATGTTCTGTATCTTCATTTTTCAATGTTAGTATCTTCCACTAGAACAAAGCAATCAGAGGACTTTCAGATTTGGAACTACAATGAAGACACCTGGCATGGATGAGCAATCCCACACTATACTGGCCAGGCAAGTTTCTGAGCCAGAGCGGGTTGTCATAATCATTTTAAATGAATACTGGTTCCTTATTGAATTTTTGAAGATTAGTAAGGGACATCAAGTGCAGTGATAACACCCATTAAAAATCCATGTTAAGGCTGAGTCTTGGAGTGCCCTATTACTGAACAGTTGAGTTATACAGCTGGCGGTACTTTAAGCACATGCCATAGATCAGCATGCTGGATAAACTAAAAACAACATTTTGCAACATATGTTTTCAGAACTTCACAATGTTTCACGGCAACACATGTCCTACCTCCAGAAACGGCCCATAGAAAACACTGCAGTGGCCCCTACAGCTGTTTCAACAGGTAGTTTTGTTCACATGTGTCTTTTTTGATGGGGAAGGTGAGAAAACAACTCTCCCCCTAATGACGAAGCAATGGCTGTTATCAATCCGAGGCACCCTTCACAGAAATGCTGCACAGAACCGCTGCCTAGCATGCAGTGAGGAATCACATCCCACCCCCCTCCCTGTTCCCTTGGCCCAGTCACCTGCAGTTCTGTGAATCTGGCCACGAAACTGAGGTTTTTGCTGATGTCAGCCTGCGTGGGTGAGTGCAGCTCCACTTCCCGCTCCTTCTGCTCTTGGCCTGAAAGTGCATCACATGGCTCAGAAACATCCAACATTCCATAACCCTCCTTCTCCTTTGCTCAGAGGGGCCCTTCTGCAATGAAACTGGTGTGATTCCATGTGCAAGGAAGGAGGGACACAGACTGCTCAAAGGGGATGTGTTCCTAATGTTCATAGAAACAGTCCCAGTCACTTGGGGACAAATCCCTCATCTCCATGTCCAGCCCAAGTAACTCAACCCTCGGGGCTGTGGGAGTGATGGCAGAACTGTCCTACAGCTGTTACTCCAACCTACAGGCTGGCGTAGGTTCTATGGCCCTAGCACCACCAATAAATGCCTTTCTGTACTATATCTAGCCCCTTTCCCCTGAAGAGGAAGCCCACACATTATAATCTATAGAACTCTACTGAGACCTACTTTTCCCGTATCTGTGCTCCTCCACATTCCACAGAATGCTCTGGTGATACCCTTTGGACAACTTCTCCCCGATGATTTCCAGCTGCCGGTAGCCCCACTCAGGTAGAGATGCACCACTGAGCTGAAAAATAAAAATGAAGGCTTAAAGAAAAGGCACAATCCTGCCAAGCTGTTCCTGAATTTCAGACCTATTGCTAGAGCTAAACAGACCCCACCCTTAATAGGATGGCAGTGGAGTGAGTGCTCAGTAGTGACAGTGACGAACGTGGTAAAAGAGCTTAGATCAACTAGTAAAGTGGATACTGTCTCAGACACCTCCCTTAATGTTACCTGTGAAGAGGAATTCTTAAGCAGGCCTGTCCACCACCCGCTGTTAATGATGTAGCCTCTACTTCTGACCCACAGGCTGATCCTCAAATGAGCTGAGCACTTGCAACATCCAATGGAATTATGCAGTGTTCAGTCTGTAACAGATCATGCCATTACAGTGCTTCATTGCCATCAGAAACACAGTCCTTTCACCAGACTGATGTCAGACCAAGCTGATAAAAATACAGGGCTTTTTCACTTTAAGGAGGATTAGTTTTGGACACAGATTGCATGGACCCTCAGGATGATTACAAGGGAAGAGGAGAAGCCTGATGTACATAAACCCACTTACCTTCAGCACTGCTGAGGTATTCACATGGACAAACCTTACTTCAGATAAAATGGTCTTCCACACGTCTGTGTCCGATTCCCGATTTACAATTTCCTGCAAGAGAGGGATGGTCTTGTGATCTTTACTTTGTCTTAGACGTTTCCCAATAGGAGAAAAACCTTCCTGCCCCTCACCCAAGTTTCCACTCACCACTCTCCAGAGGTTCTGTGCTGGCATGGAGATGTTATAATCAATGTAACAGGAGATTTCCTGGGAGTGTGGGCTCAGAGGTGCAGCAACATCATGTCTGCAAGATCCATAAAGTAAGTGTTCTGGGCTAAATTCTCTGTTCATTTCACAGGGTTATTTAATAATCAAACCCCACAAAGCTACTCAGGGGGGTACAGAAATTCAGCAAGCAAAAAGCCAAACAACCTATTGGCACAAATCAAGTGGCATATTTGGGGGGGGGGGGGGCAAAGAAAGGGAGGGGGCTCCGTGTTATAAAGGGCCATAAAACAGCATTGGAGGAAGCTGATTTTGCCAGCTAACATCCTTGGTAAAGCACAAACACCTCAACTGGGGCAAACAGAAGGGTAGCTGGAATAGTAATGGTCTTCAGTGGGGTTTCTGAGAATGGACCAACTGGCATTCCTGACCCGCTTGGGCCTGGAATGAGCACAAAGAGAACCAACATTCAGGGTTCAAATGCCCCGCCTCCTAATCTAGGTGACTGAAGTCCATGTGGACTCTTAAGAGACCATTTTTATAATAATGCAGCATTACAAAACTGTCACAAACACACAACAGCCAGGCACATGGGTGCACTTTTCAAGTGCCTACATGATTGGGAGCACCAAGTCAGCTGAAAGCCACATGCCAGGAAATTCAATGGGTCGTGCTGCTAAGTCAATTAGGCGCTTCTGAAAATCCCACCCAAAGTCTACTCACCCACCCTTACCATAATGGTGTGGGTGGTGCTGATGCAAAAACTAAAAAGACCTGCCTGTTAGGGGGAAAAAATTACCCAGACGAGTGAGCATGTAGAAATGTGCAATGCTGTCACAATGTATATTGGACTAGCTGGGACCTAAGAGGTCTCTAACACTTCTAAATACCCCATAAATGGTCTGTCATTTGCCTTTTGCAGTTGGTCTGGCAGTAGAAGAGCAATTTGTGATACTAACCAGAAACCATTTAATGACTGGACCAGTTGTATCCAGGCCTATGGCTGAGTATACTGTGAGAGCCTAGAAGTGTCTTAGGGAGAGCACCAGCACTCACCAGTGTCCCCCCCATCCCTACACAGACACTAAAGAGAAGCAACAAAACTGAATGAGCCAGCAGGCTGGGAGAAGCACATACGTGTTTAGGTAACGAGTTGTGATGCCGTGGACCAGTTGCACAATATGCCCATGTCGGACGGGACGTGGTGGGTTACTCACCACCAGCTGCTGCCTGCCAGGGTGACAAACCAAAAGAAATGTTTCAATTCCCCATCACAGCTAGTGCCAACTAGTGACCATTAGCTTGAAAAGCCTGGAGACCAGGACAAAAGGAAGGAGGAGAAACATTTGGACAGTCAGATGAGAAATCTGAGCTCCTTATGGGTTACAGCTGGATGCAGAGAAAGTTATTGGACACTAAGCAGAGAGAGGGACAGGCTGACTCAGGGAATCAGTAATGGGAAACAGAGCTTTTAGCCTCTTGGTGGCTGATCTGAATCCAGGTCAGCCACTGGTCACCAAAATGTATTTCCATCTAACAGCTGACTGATGGCTTATATGAAATGAGTCAGGTCTGACACGTATCCTTATCACAACGGACGCCGTCATTGGGCAGTCTCCGAAGCCTGTGTGGGTCATGGAGACACAACCCCCTTCTCACCCTAGACAGGTACAATGCACACTGGCAGGGGTGGGGCACTGAAGCTTCCCCAGCCTTCCCTGTACTTAGCTGCTCTGTGGATAAAGAGAAAACTTCACCCCCCAGGGCTGTCGATCCAGCAGTTTTCTGTTCAGGTCTATACTTCAGCGCCATTCCAGCACAGCGATATTGGCAAACACTCCTAGTTTGGATGCAGTTTATACCAGCAAAACATCCTTTAGTTGGTACAGCTTATATCAGTTCCCCCAACAAAATAAACTATACCAACAAAAGCAATTTTTTGCCAGTTTACCTGTCTACACTAGGGCTTTGGCTGGCATAACCCCTAATTGACAAAACTTAAGAGCAGACCAGGCTCCTGACTCTCAGGATACACACACACGGGATTCTCTCTAATTTGGGAGGATCTATATCTCATTCCTAACTTCAAACACAAACAGATACTTTCCCTCAAAGTGAATTCTATTATTTCCTGAGGCCTACTCAAGTACAGCCAGGGTCAGCCCTACTCACTGAGACCTGCACACAGACTTTAGAAGCAGTATTTTGTTTTTTTTCACATGCGAAATGGAATTCGAAGACTTTCCCATCAGTTTCATTTCTCTTTACAATTCCCTTTGTACCCCCAGGTCCCATGCCTCTGGCAGGAGCAGCTCTTTTTTTGGAGCACCTCAGTGCTGCTCCTAAGTCAGCCAGCAGGGTGATCGGGACAGCCAGCATCTCCCTACAGCTGAGTGCCCCCTCCTGCCTGTGCAAAAGATTTAACTGAAGCCCAGTTCTAGTCACTATCTGGTGGTAGGAGATTTTTTTCTGGAATTAAACTTATGGTGACGTTTCTATTTCTCTCTTGCTGTATACAAATTATTCACCCTTGTATAATACTTTCCATCCCAGAATCTCAAAGCATTTGCAAATATTAATTAAATCCTTCCAGCACCCAGAAGATCCAATAACACTATCATTTCCATTCGACAGATGGGGGAATGGAGATGAAGTAGTGCAGTGACTTACCCCAGGACATGCAGTGAGTCAGTGGAGTGTGGGGAACACAACTTGAGACTGGGAGTCCTGACTCCCAGACCCATGCTCAATCCACTAGACCACAGTTACTTCTCTAAGCCTATGGAACCCAGTATTCCCAGCTGGTGTCCAGTCCCTGTACTAATCAGGCCTAGCCCTGCTTAGCTTTTGGGATCCGTTTTCATCAGCAGAGCTCATGGTATGGCATTTAAGCATGTTTCCTGTATACTCACCTCCCAGGATCCTTAACGATCCACCAGTTATTGACATCCTTGAAGGGGTAACAAGTCACCTGCTGTTGGTGGGAGCTGCCTCGGCCATTCTCGTACCTATAAGGGTAGGTAAGAGGACAGAACTCTGAGGGAATGGTACAGCGCTGTTCCCTGTGACTGTGTGGAACAGAGAGCAGCCTCAGATTAAACTAGCAAGTCTCACTCAGTGACCTGAATCGGCACTACACCACTGGCTTTGTTCTTTTGAAGACAGCTGAAGAGACACAATATACAGAGCAAAGCTCAGGAGTCACAGCACATCAGATGTAATGTAATACATGTGCTGAGGCCAAGGCTTCCGAGGAGCAGAGTGCACCCAGCACTCACCGTGTTTTCTTGTTTTCCATTTCAAGGGGTGCCTGACAAGCCAATGCTCAGACCCTCTCTTCCATGCAGTGAACTGTACTGTAATATCCATGAAGGGATGGAGTGGGTTGGGCTATCAATGGCTTTGGCCAGTGCTTGGGTAAATGAAGGTGGAAAGATTAGAGCACGAGACTTGAATAGGGAAAAGACCTACTAGCTTCTCTTTTCCAGCCCTCCAGGCTAATGGAGGATGCGTCCCTGCTGTATATTCCCCAGAAGTTTACCCTGTCTAATCTGAAACGCCAGAAACAACGGCGCTTCCACTGTTTCCCTTGAGACCACTATCCAACAATGCAGGAAATCAATGGAGGTAATTTTTCTTAATTTTCTTTACATATACCCCATCATGCACCATAAACCATTCCCCTCCTTCCTTGGTGTTTCGATGGTTCTCTCATCCCCACAGTCATTGTTTAGGGCAAGTCTACACTACAAACCTGCATTGGCGTACCTGCACCACTTCTGATGAAGACGCTCTCCTGTCGGCTTAGTAACTCCAGCTCCGTGAGAGGGAGTAGCTATGTCAGTGGGAGACACAGCACTGTCTGCACCGGAGGTTAGGTCGACGTAACTACAACACTCAGGGGTGTGCATTTTTCACACCCCTGAGTGATGGTTATACCAAAGTAAGTGCGCAGTGTAGGCCTGGCCTTAGTCAATCTAGACTCATTTCGCTCTGATCTTAGAATCCTCTCAAGTTTGCCAGCATCAGTTTGGTATTGTGATGCCCAGTATCATATGCAGTATTCTAGCTACCATGCCAAAGGAGCTGTATGAAAAAGGGACTGTCATCTCCTTACTCTGGGGAAACGTAACAGTCTCTGTATAGGTAGCCAAAACATTGCATTGGTCTACTGGCTGCAGCAGCTGATGGGAAACTCATTCATTCAGTTTTCTCTCCACTACCAACCAAGATTTCTTTTGTAAATTACAGCTTTCTAGATGCCATTCCCCCGTCCCGTGAGCTGAATATCTGCATTTCAGATATATGCCATATATATTAGCTTCCATTTGACCAAGTCAACGTGATTTTGTCTCCCTGCCCAGCTTTTAAACTCTGTTTTTTTCTCTGTACTCGTTTGGCATTTCCAACATGTCCCAATTGCTAAGGAATATGGTAGTATCACTGATCTCAGTTGCATCCCACTGGATGCCTTTTGCATCTCAATACAGTGCCGGTTTTCCTGATCCTTTTAACCAATTTCCAGGCCATGTAACAGTGCTCAAATTCCTACCAATTTACATTTCCAAGGACAATTAGAATCATAGGGTTAGAAGGGACCACAAGGGTCACCTAGTCGAGTGGTTCTCAACTAGGGGTTATTCAGAGGTCTTCCAGGGGTACATCAGCTCATCTAGATATTTGCCTAGTTTTACAACAGGCTACATAAAAAACACTAGGTGACGTCAGTACAAACTAAAATTTCATACAGACAATGACTTGTTTATACTGCTCTATATACTGACATGTAAATACAATATTTGTATTCCAATTGATTTATTTTATACTTATATGGTAAAAATGAGAAAGTCAGCAATTTTTCAGTAATAGTGTGGCTGTGACACTTTTGTATTTTTATGTCTGATTTTGTAAGCAAGTAGTTTTTAAGTGAGGTGAAACAAGACAAATCAGAGTCCTGAAAGGAGTACAGTAGTCTGGAAAGGTTGAGAGCCACTGATCTCGTCAAACCTACCGGCAAGATGCAGGATTTGTTGTGTCTAAACCATCCAAGACAGATGGCTCCAGCCTCCTTCTGAAAACCTCCAGTGAAGGAGCTTCCCCAACCTCCCTAGGGAGTCTGTTCCATTGTCCTACTGTTCTTACAGGAATGAAGTTTTTCCTGAGATTTAATCTAAAATTTAATTTAATCACATCAGATAACACTGAATACACTACTGAAATCTAGAGCCCTTGCATCATTACCACATTCCATTCATCCTCTCATTTTGGAATTGGATTGTGAAAAGCAAGCCCTTTTCTTGCTCTGATCTGTTCTTTTTAAGCCCATGCTGTTTGGTGTTCTGTTACCCTGTAGGTACTTACAAATTCTCTCTTTCATAATCTGGTCTAATATTGTACTAGGGACTGAAGTGAGACTGAATCTAAGGTAAATACTAGGATTTTCCCTTCTCCCCCTACATTTTATTTCCCCTGCAAATCTCTGGTACCTTCCCTCTTCTCAATGACGTTGAAATTAATTGCCAGTGGTTTGGCAAGCTGATTACAAAATTCTTTTAAGGATGAATCACACATTATCCTAATCGGTATTATAACTACGAACTGCTCAATGGAAGTTTACCCCCCGACGCTTCAATAGGAATATTAATGGGCTCCAAAGCCCTTCGTGGAGTAATAACAAGGTTTTGTATGACATGCAGTAGATAACATACCCTGAAAGCTTGATGTAAAGAGAGGCTATGATGCTGCACAGACACAGACAGTGAGATCTGAACTGTCAGCTCAAGAACAGGAGCACAGTTAACCCCCGCCCCTTACACTCTAGTGTTACAGAACAAAACAGATTCCTCACCTGATGGGATAAGTGCTCTTGTGAGAATGGAGCCAGCATGGCATGGGTTTGCCTAAAACATTCCGCAGGGTAATCTGGGAGCCATAGGCTACCTCAAGGGGCTGGCCCTGTGTGATCCGAGCTAGCCCGCCCTAAAAAGCATAATAAGATAATAAACCAGAGGAAAAAAACTCAGAAGCTGTTTGACTCTGAAGAGAGTCACTCACAGCTTTAACGTGTAATATAACATGTTAGTATAATGCTTGCGGTCCTCGTTATAGCTATAAAATTCCGATCCTGCAACATTATGTTCAGAGGTAATCTGGTTACAGAATGAAGCCTGCAGAATTTCAGGGTCTCAGGGAACATCCCCAAAGCAATCCTGCACCAACAATAAACTAAGCGACTATTCTATATGGGCCCTGTTCTAGTCTATGTAGGTCCTTACACTGCTCTCAGTACCGCCGTCTGAGGATTAAGCAATGTGACTAACATCTGTCTCTACTGAATCTGTAGGTAGAGCCCCGTAAAATAAATTTTTATAATTTTGGGGGGTTTGGAGGGGAATTTCTTGTTATTTCATTTTATCAATTCTCTCATCCACAGTGGGGCTGGTCCTGCCCCCCACAGGTATTGGAGGATGGTTGAGTCATGCAGGGGGAGTGGGAGGCACCGGGGGAGGGCTGGGTCCTGCCTGAGGAGGGAGGGAAGCCTGGGGGAGATGGGTATTACTGAGCAAGCCTGCCCCACACTCACGCAGCAGCTCCTGTCCCTTGGGGGTGGGCCTGGCTCCCCGCTCTGGGCACTGCAAACTGACGCATGGGGTCGCAGTTCCACTCATGTTTGACCCATCCATCCTGCCATCATGATGACAGGGGCCAAATCTGAGTGAGTGGCGGGACAGGAGCTGCCACTAGAGGGCGAGTTTTTCATTTTATTTCATGTTGGTTTGCATTTGCAAATAAAACAGGGCTCTATCTATAGGTGACCCGCTGTGTTAGGGACATGTTACTGATCTTCTAGCCCTGACTAGATAGTTTCCCTCCAATTCTGGGTTTTGGTATTTTTAAAACCCCCTTGTGATTTCATTATATCATTTACTTGTGAGACTAATTCCACTGACTTCAGTAGTGTTCCACTGGCATAACCAACTCGAGAATTTAGCTCTAACTGTGCTCTTATGTAGAAGAGTGGGCATATTTTGTGTGGGACAGCAAACATTGCTTTGGTACAAAGGAAAGCCCCAGGATAGAGATGGGGACAGAGCTTTCACTTACTATTAGGACTCAGCACTTCCTCACTATTTCAGCTTAAAGCCATTTTATAGCACAATAGCAGCAAGATGAGGACAAAGGAGCAAGTATTTCATGGTGCTAATTTAGTCCATTTCCACAACAGAGGGTATGTGCACGACCCACTTCCAACATCTCCTTTCCTTCACTCCCGCTTTCCTTACCTCCAAGCTGGCCTGGAAAGCACTGGTCATAATCTGGTCATGAGGTCCTGAGCGGTAGAGCAAAGTCAAGTGAACGTAGAAGAAAGACAGGTACATTGCTACTGGGACGACTACTAGAGCTAGTCCCCTCGCCAGCAAATGGCACAACACAGAAACCTGGCAGAATACAAAGAACTCACTGTTACATCCTTTCAGGTAAGTCCCAGCTTTGTGCAGCTCTCCCCCACTGATAGGTAATACGGCTAATACAGCTCAGGATCTCAAAGCACTTTACAGTGTTATTTAATCATGCTTCACAACATTTATGTGAAATATGGAAGGGTATTCCCATTTTACAGATGGGGAAACTGAGGCACAGACAGATGAAGCAACTTGCCCAAGGTCATGCAGCAGAACTGGGAAAAAGTAAGCAGATCTGTTTATTCCCCTGCTCCCCCACCCCTTTCCCAGCTATTGAGGATAACCAGGTACTTGGTTATTTTTAAAAAGGAAAAGGAAAAAAAAAATCCCCAACTTCCCTGTGGACTTACCACAGCGGACACTTTAATCACTTCTCGTGCAAGGTCAGACTGGGGTGCACAGGATACACTGAAATTGGATAGGTTTTAACCTGCAGACCCTGTCAAACCATATTAAAGATGGGTAGCAGCAGGGGCAGGAGGGCAAGCCACTTCCCGTTCAGAAATACAGTTCGGCACCAGAAAAGCTACACACGTACACTTTCTCTCAAACTTGACCCTGCTTTTTTCCTATAACATAGCAGGGCCATAGCTCTGCAAGAAGAGGGCTTCCAGACCATAACAGTAGGCTTAATTGCAACACATGCCTAGGATTTCTTCAAGTGTTGAATTATTAGCTGATGGTTTAGAAGGCTTTTAGCTTGCGCCTCCTTCTCTGGATGCATGCTGTGAATGTAATTACATGCTATTTATCGAGTACATTAGGCTACCTACATTTGACAAGGTCTGGTCTCCTATCAAGTGCCAGGAGTGGACTCCAGCGATGGCCAAGAGCAGCATGTAGGTGAAAAGCCCCATGTATTTTACCCTGAGAAGACGGCACACAAAGATCAAATTGGGTTAAACATACCCAGACTATAGACAAGATTTAATGCAAGGTGTACGTATTCAAACTCTCTCTTGAGCAAGGAGTTCCCAAGCCCAGCAACATTGGTGCTCCAGTTCTGTACGCTGACTGAATAAGATGCTTTGTGGCTTGGTCTCTGAAGTGGCTATTTGCTTGCTAATGACAAAGGCGGAGAGGCTGTTGATAACAAGGCAGCCTATCACAAGGTAGAGTATGGAGGGTCCCTGAACTCAGACAAACACAAAGTTGGGAGTAGGAGTTGAAATCCAGGTCTCAGTTTTTAGAAGGCCCATCTCTGATGGAGGCTTGTACCAATATATGTACACCTCTACCCCGATAGAACGCTGTCCTCCGGAGCCAAAAAATCTTACCGCATTATAGGTGAAACCGCGTTATATCGAACTTGCTTTGATCCGCTGGAGTGCGCAGCCCCGCCCCCCCGGAGCACTGCTTTACCATGTTATATCCGAATTCGTGTTATATAGGGTCGCGTTATATCGGGGTAGATGTGTATTTCATTCTTTTCAGTACAACCCCCATCAGTTTGTCTTTCACTGCTTTATGTGGATTGATGTCATCGGCTCATTGATTATTTCAGGGGTATTCAATGAAGAATAAAACCTGGAGAAGTTTGCTACAGACAGATGTGCCACAACTAGCTGCAGCATCAAGAGCGAGTCTTGGAAAGCTGAGCTCTTGATAACACAGCAAAGCAAAGGCTGAGATGGTGAACACTAAAGCAATCTGGGAGTTTAGTAAAACAACATGACAGGAGAAGTCAGTACTTACCCAACTGCACAGGAACAAGCAACTCCAGTCAATAAAAGCCAAAACCACCAGCCTGCAGTGAAGGGGCTTAGAAAAAAGGACAAAAGGAGAGAAAACACAGTAAGATACAGGCACCCAACTAGAATTCTTTTATGCTAATAGTAGTTTATATCAGGCCTCCCAGGACAGCGATTGTTATCCTTGGTCTAGGTGTGGATGTTAAACACTTCTCCTGACCCTGAAAAGTCATTCCAAGCACTGAGAGTCTGCACAGCTTCCAATATCGCAATAAAGCAATGGGCTAGGCCACAGGCTGGGCTAAGTTTAAAGGCTATTATTTTAAATGGGGCTCTGCAAGAATCAGAGACCACACAAAGCCATGTGAGAAGAGACAAAGATTTCTAAGTTGACTCTGCGCCCATGAGCAATAACAAATGACTAACAGGGATATTTGTCACCCTCTTTATTTCTATGCACAGGGAAATTTTCCAGACCAGGAATTGGCAATGAGGGAGAAACAGCCAAGGGATTTTTTTTTTAAATTATAAGGAAGCCAAGACAACCCCACTATCATTTAAACACTTTAGAACAGTGGTCCCCAACCTTTTCCGTGGGGCGGGCGCCGGACGACTAGCCGCCGAGGACCGTGGCCACCGGAATGCCACCGTGAAGCGGCAACATCAAGAGGCATCGCCGCAGAAATTCGTGAAGCGGCAACGGCAAGAGGCATCGCCACCGAAATGCCGCCGCGCTTCTTGACGTTGCCGCTTCTCGGCGGCATTTCAGTGGCTGCTTTTCCAGCGGCCAGTAGGCGGGTGTACATGGATGCCCCGGCGGGCACCAGGGCGCCCACAGGCACCACGTTGGGGACCCCTGCTTTAGAACATAAGAACGGCCATACTGGGTCAGACCAAAGGTCCATCTAGCCCAGTATCCTGTCTTCCGACAGTGGCCAATGACAAGGTGCCCCAGAGGGAATGAACAGAATAGGTAATCAAGTGATCCATCCCGTCGCTCATTCCCAGCTTCTGGCAAACAGAGGCTAGGGACACCATCCCTGCCCATCCTGGCTAATAGCCACTGATGGACCTATCCTCCATTAATTTATCTAGTTCTTTTTTGAACCCGGTTATAGTCTTGGCCTTCACAACATCATTCTCTGGCAAAGAGTTCCACAGATTGACTGTGCGTTGTGTGAAGAAATATTTCCTTTTGTTTGTTTTAAACTTGCTACCTATTAATTTCATTTGGTGACGCCCTAGTTCTTGTGTTATGAGGAGTAAATAACACTTCCGTATTTACTTTCTCCTTACCAGTCATGATTTTATAAACCTCAATCATATCCCCGTTAGTCATCTCTTTTCCAAGCTGAAAAGTCCCAGTCTTATTAATCTCTCCTCATACGGAAGCCGTTCCATAGCCCTAATAATTTTTGTTGCCCTTTTCTGAACCTTTTCCAATTCCAATATAAATTTAAACTTTCAAACTGCTTGGAAGATAAAATCCTTCCAACATCACTATGAGTGGTCAAGTATCATTATCCCCATTTTACAGAGGGGATTCTGAGGCTCAGAGAAATGAAGTGACTTGCCCAAGGCACAGCTACAATTAGATAAGGATTCTTGCTTCCCCAGCCTGAATTTGGACCACTAGCCCACACCCCAAATAAGGTTTGCAGTATACCACACACAAGATTATTATAATTGGTGCCAGACCGCCTTTGATGTATTTATTTATATGGCAATTAAAAAAAACCCAAGAGGCACAAATGTTTTATACTTAAAATGATGACTAGCTTATTACAACTAACTAGAAGGTTATCCAATGCCCAGGAATGAAAACCAGTTGTACCTGCACTTCTGTAAATTGTAGAACTTCAGATAGGACAAAATTGCAAGCAGGATAAAAAAGATTAGTACTGATTCCAAGAGCATCAGCCTGGATTGAGTGATCAGAGAGTTCTCTGTTAGAAACAGAAGGAGAAGATATATACACACCAAATTAGGCATAAATTATTGGTAGGAAAACTGTCAAGCAATACTCATGGCAGCAACAATACCATCAACCATAAGGACTTCTAAAGACCTGATCAACTGAGAATCAAAGAAACATTTCCAAAGAAAGCAAAACAAAAGTCTTTTCACAGTATTATAATAAGCCTGAGAGGAGAGACAGAGCCATGCTCTGTGTTTGAGAAACCTTTCAAGCATGGGAAATGGCAGATGGGTGAGGGGAAGAAGAAAAGACTTGCTGAAATCTAAAGCTGAGGTATGGCCCTTCTGTCCTGCACACCCATCCCCAGTATATTACAGAAATCTGAGGAAGAGCCTGAAGAGGCTCCTCAAAGGCAAAGAAATAAAGCTGCCCGCATGGCTGTGAGGTTCCGTGTCGAACCTTCCTCTTTGTTCAATAATAGAGAGACCTAGTCGTGTCTAGTTAGGAGCAGGACTGGAACCGCAGGCTGTGCTGCAGGTCAGAACTGAAGTGCATGGGAAGAGCTGTGTGTGGGCCTCAGGACTGAATAGCAGGATATGCTGATCAGGACTGGTGCACCGCAGCACCCACCTCCCTAACTCTCAGCACTGCTCTTACTAACTGCCACATGCACTAAAAATTCAACGTGGAAGAATTCAAAGGGGAAAGTGGATCATTCCCCCTCTGTATGGAGAGTAAGGCTGAAGGCACAATCCTTACCGAAGAGAATCAGGAGGGCAGCTCCAAGCGCAGCACAATGGGAGAAGTGCAGCTCTACCAAAATCTGGTACGCTAAAGGCACACACAGGGCACCAGTTAGTGCTGGCAGCAATCGCAAGGACCAAATGGGCACGTTCATATTGTACTCTAGAACAGACAACAGTGTGAGGACAAGAGCATTAGAAGCCGTTGCTTATTCTATCGGTGTTTGCAAGAAGAATAGGATTTGGTTTCATACAGCTCTTCTCAGACTCAAGGTATCTCCCCATGTTGTTTATAAACAAAGAGCTAAGATATCAGCAATGCGGGGCTGTAGCCCGATCCTGCAATTTCTTTTACTCACAGTTAGGGGACATTAGAATATAATTATCTGAAGTAACATAGGCTAATAATAATAATCCTTCACATTTATACAGTGCTTTCATCTGTAGACTTCAAAGGGCTTCAGAAAATGGGCAAGTATCATTGTTCCCCTTTTTCAAGATGGGTAAAGTGAAGTATGACGTTCAGAAAAACGGAGTATCCACAACTCGAAATGAAATCACTGGGAGCTGTGGATACTCGGCACCTCTGAAAACCAAGCAAATGGGACTTGCACAAGGTGTCACAGCAAGTCAATCTGAGAGCTGGGAGGTGTCTTGATTCTCAGTCCCATTAACCTATCTTCTGGACTATGCTGCCTTTTATAATTACTCTCTACTCTCTTCTGAGCTATGGGATCTTTAGCATCTTCTGAAACATCCACTGCAGTCATACAGAAGACTTTGATTTAACATCTCTTCTAAAGAAACATCACCAAGATCAAGTAAACAAACTAAACAAAAACCCCTCTGCTTCTATTAGTGACTAAAAAATCATTAGTCAGCTCTGAAATGCAGCTCTATTCTGTTGGAAGAATGAGACACTGTTAAAATCAGCTCTTACCAGCCCCAATTCTGTTCCACAAGAAGTTTCCATCAAAGCCTCCTAAGTAACCTGAAAAAGAACAGCAGCAGATGTGGCTGGAGTGAGTGGCACATGGAAATGGGTGATAAAATTGTGAAGGTTAATTACTCTCCATAGAGATTTGTTTTTTAATCAGAGTTAGCCTCCCACTACATCCCCATGAGTATCTCCTCAGTATTTTATACTCAGACCACTTTTTGAAGAGAGAGTCTTATGGACCATCTCTCCCAGACGCACATCTCCCTTGTAACAGTGCTTTATTACATGAAAAAGTTACCTTAGGATAGTATGCAGGAGACAATATGAAAATAAACCACACACTGACATGAAAGGGGCAACTGCTTAATTAATCCCCCCCATTTTATATTGTCCCTTTCCTCTCCCTTGACTTCACACTTTTGGGGCCTGTATCTTCTCTTGTTGCCTTCTATTCCCAATGCTCTAACCTCTCCAGGTCATTGTACAGTTTGGTTCGGTCCTCCTGTTTGTCTGGGAGTAAGATAAAAGCGTGGGGGAAACCTCCATTGTAATAGGGAAATGGGTAGGGGTCATGGCAAATGGTAAACTTGCAGAGTTACACCACTTTCCCCCCTCCTGCACTCCAAGCCACTAGCCCAGGGGTGGGCAAACTTTTTGGCCTGGGGGCCACATCAGGATTCTAAAACTGTATGGAGGGCTGGTGTAGTGTATTAAATTGGTCCCCTTAGGAATCTGCTACTTAAGGCTGCCAGTCCTGGTGCTCTGAGTGGCATGGTAAGGGGGTGGGGAGGGGCAAAGGGTTTCGGGGAGCAGTCAGGGAGCAGTTGGATAGGTGTGGGAGTCCCAGGGGGCCTGTCAGGGCGGGGGTGTGGATGGGGTCAGGGCAGTCAGGGGACAGGGAGCGGTGGGGATTGGATAGGGGGCGGGGTCCCGGGGGGGCGGTTAGTGGCGGGGGATCCCGGGAGGGGACAGTCGGGGGACAAAGAGCAGGGGGGTTGGATGGGTCAGAGGTTCTGAGGGGGGCAGTCAGGGGACAGGAAGTGGGAGGGGGCAGGCTGTTTGGGGAGGAACAGCCTCCCCTACCCAGGTGTAGTGTATTAAATTGCTCCCCGTAGGAATGTGCTACTTACAGAGCACTAGCACTGGCAGACGTAAGTAGCACACCATAAGTAGTAACAATCCTACGGGGAGCAATTTAATACACTACACCCCGGGGCTCTCGCCGCCTCACTGCCTGGCAGGAGCTTGCAGCCCTGCCACCCAGAGCGCTGGCGGCAAGGCAAGCTGAGGCTGCGGGGGAAGGGCCGGGGGCTAGTCCCCACGGCCGGGAGCTCAAGGGCTGGGCAGGACAGTCCCACCACGGGCCAGTTTACCCACCTCTGCACTAGCCCAAAGCCCATGTGGTCATTCTAAAGCAAATGAAATCAGCAAGGTCTCCGTGGAAGAAATTCTGCCCTATCCCTTCTCCACAAGGATAGAATTTGAGAACTGAAAGCATATCTGCAACCTGTTCCTCATTCCCCAAAGCAAAGAGCAATAAATGCTTCCTAAATTAAAGTTCAATGGAGCCCCTACCTCCAAAAGCTAGCAGCATGTGGCCAAATGGCGGGCCACTGTCATCCACAAAAAAGATCCGCTTCATGTACAGAGACACAAACTGGCCATAGTAAACTTCATCAAAACTGAAACACCACAGAGAAAGAAAAGTGTCAAGTCTAACTGGAAACATCTCACAACGCGCCCATACCTTAATGATGGGGACGTTAACTGACTCCTCCTTTGGCAATCTCAGCAGAGGGACTGAATGGAGCATAGAGATTTAGCATCCCTTTCAGTCCTCTAGGTCAGGGTTGAGGCATGCTGGTGAGGATGCTTGCATTGCCACTGCGTGCGCTGAATCCACACCAGGATGTAAGTATCCTGAGCCAGCAATCCAGAACCTTTCATCACCATTACATTCTCACTCGCAAACTTAAAAAAAAATAAAAAATCCCAGGTATTTTAAATGGGAAGTGAAGCGCTGTGCTTACACCACTGCCCGTGGGTAGGAGAGTGCCCAGAGCCGGTTTACTAATCCCATCACAGTCAGAGCCACCAGATTCACATTGATCTCTGCAGTGACCACAACAGGCTGCTTCAGGAATCCCAACATCCTGCCGAATGGTTTGGTCAAGCCTCTGAAAGCAAAGTGGGAGAAGAAAACATCTGCAGTTACCGTTCAGATCAGAAATGAGTCACGTATCTAAGGCACTGCCAGCAGTTTAGGACAACAGCATTTCTAGTATTCTCTTTTCCAGTCTGCAAGTGAAATATTTTCTATATGCAACCTGTGCAACAATAACCCTAAAATGCTGCTCTACTCTAATAAGGGTCTACCTAAAAATGGCAGATACTGTTTCAATCAGCTTCCACACATATAGTCCTTATGAGTTTCAAACATTTTCCCTAGTTTTAAATTGTTAGCCCTGCAGAGCCAACACAACTCAGCTCAAGGAGAGACTTCTGGATACTTATCCTGTTTCATGCATCATCAGCAACATAATTGTAAAGTTAAATTTCATATTCAGATGCTTTCTTGCTGATGAAGTGTGAGCCAGCCTCTCAGACCCCAGGCTGCGTGGGCAGTGCTGGCAATTAGAATCATAGATTATCAGGGTTGGAAGGGACCTCGGGAGGTCATCTAGTCCAACCCGCTGCTCAAAGCAGGACCAATCCCCAGACAGATTGTTTCCCCAGATCCCTAAGAATTGAACTCACAACCCTGGGTTTAGCAGGCCAATGCTCAAACCACTGAGCTATCCCTCCCCCTGACAGTGTGGACGCTTGCAAATGTAGCTTTGCCCTGGAGCTAGAGACGCAATAAACTGTGACCCTTATGGTGCCAATCTTAGCGAGTCAGAGACATTGATGAAGGGGCTTTATTGCAGCCGCGAGAGGCAAACCCCTAGTGCTTGTGCAGAGCCCCCACGACACGATGCCGCAGCCCCGGAGGCCCGGGAATTGCTACGCGCCGGGGGGCGCGCCTGGAAAAAGAGAGACAAGGCGGGTAGCGTCTCACCTCAGTACACTGAGATCCTTGCGCGTCCCTTCAGTCTGGGGCAATGAACTAGGCCCGAGAACCGTTAGCCCCCCAGGCCGCGCCGCGCCGCCGGTCCGGTTTCCCTAGCCTGTGTCTGGAAGAGCCGAGGCCCATGCTAACGCCGGGCCGGGATGCTCCGAGACTCGCGGTGATACCCCCCAGGCGGGAATCTGGGTCACGGGGCTGCCCCCCCCACCCGTCCCGCCCGCGCGCGCGCGCGCGCTGCGCTGAGGAGAGTCCCCCACGCTAAGACCCCGGCTCGGCTCGGAGCGCGCACCCACGTCACCCGCCACAGCGCAGCGCAGCGCCCCGCCCACCGGCCTCGGGTCCGCCTCATCCCACGCTGCCGACCAATCACAGCGTCAGGCTCCCCGAACGGCTGGCGCCGCCTCCCCGCCCCAGTGCTGCTGCGGCCGGGACGCAGCGGGCGGGGCTCGGGGCCAAGAGAGGGCGGGGCCTCCCGCCGTCAGTGGTCACGTGATCCGGAAACTGCCGTGCGTAACTCCCGGCCTCACATCAGACGCACAGGGGAAACGCTCTGTTGCCATAGCAGCAACCTCCTGGCTGCTTGGGCCTGAGGAGGGGCGTGGCCTCACGGGGATAGGAAAGCCGGAGTCGCCCATGCAAACTTGGCCAGCTAAGCCATGGCTGGGAGGTTCCTTCGAACACGTATTAAAGCCGCACCCTGGGAAGCAGGACTGTAGTCGGTTTTACAAAGGGAGAAACTGAGGCACAGAGGTGAAGCTACTTCCTGGAGTGAGATGGCTACTTAGTGATAGGAAATTTTATCAGCATTTTCCCCCCCAGCATGGCTCTTACTGCTGGAGGGATGGGGTGTTTACCTTACATCTTCCACTGATGGAGCTGCACTCTGCAGAAAAACAGCCGAAGTAGTTCTGCAACAGGGCTTACACTTGACTGGCAGAACTCCCACTCTTCTAGTCAGTCTATAAACGCTAACAAGCGCTCTATTCCTTGGTACTAGCCTATACAACACCTAGCACAAGGGGGGCCCTAGGTATCACAATGATATAAATAAGCTATTATAAACAATAGGAATTGTGTGTATTGTAAGCCATTAGGAAAGGCAAAAACATCTGTTTAGTTATGGCAGAGAATGCTAAGTGTAGCATTAAGTGTTCAGAGAGCATGGTAATAGGCACAATATAAAAACCTAACTACATAAATCTCTTCCTAAAAATATAAACCAAACAAAATCACACAGGGAATTTGAGAAAAGCATAATCTGCTTTATTTATTTTTTTAACTTTTTTATTTAAATAAGGAGAATTCTTTCATATGGAAAGAGCTAATACAATCACATATTTGAAAGGAGAAACAATAGGTACGGAAAATAAGGAAAAAGGGCAATAAAGAGTGTGCCACCACTGGCCTGGTGATTTCATGATTTGAGTTCTGGTCCAAGTTAAAGTTTCCAAAAAATATAAACAGGTTGCACATTACACATTTATCCATCGTCTGCCCTTTCAAATATCTGGTCTACATGAAAAGACAAAGAGGAAAGGCCAAAAAAAACTTTACTATACAGGTCATGAGGTTATAAGCTTTATGGAGTACAATATCCCCTTTAGAAACAATGAATGCAATTTATACAGAACCAGAGAAAGGATTCCAACTAAGGACAATGCCTTGACATGCTAAAGAGTGAGTGCCTCCATTGCTGCTGCTGTGATTCCCAGGGCTACCGGGTTAGCTATTGACTGCAGACATCTTGAGGTGCTAGGGACAAATCATTAAATCCAAGAGGTTGTCTATGCCACTTGGTGGCCTTTGCATTTTAAAAACCAAAAAAGCCAAAAATACATAGTTGGACTGGTTCTGCCTCTTCACACAGCCAGTAGTTCCATTGCTTTAGTAATTGTTCATCTCTTATTGATGGGCCACAACTACATTACAAGGATTCTGCTTGTTATTGTAAATGTAATTCTTACTCATAAGAGAAATCTTTCATACAAGGAAACTGGGGGCTGTCTGCCAAAAATAGTTGACATTCCAAGAAATTAATCTATGCTTCACCAGTCAGGAGCAAAACAGAAGAAGGATAACATAATGCAACAGAAGAGATCTTAGCATGGAGTGGTGCTCGTTTAAAAGTGAATATAGTAGCCTGCCAAAAAGTGAGACATAGCAGAAATGCTAAGCTCCATTTTTATATACCTATATAAATATACATGAACCACAGGGCAGCTTGTAGCTTTGCAGCATTCTCGCAAGGAAATCTGTTAAATGGCGCGCCTCTCTGCATGTACACAAACACATATGAGATTCAATGGGCTGAGAACACATTCAGAGTTACTGAATGCTGTACAGCTGTCAAATGGGAAAGCCAATAGTGAGTTATGAAAGATCAACACCACCACTTGCTTCACTGGTGACTGTGCTGATTTAACCTTTTATTTAAAATATACAGGGCATCTTTTTCAAAACTCACGTTAATTTTTTTTAATTGAGAGCTAAAAGCAGACTGAACACAGAGGAAAGCAGGCAGCACTGAATGCAGCTGACAGGCCAGCAGTCACTGTGCATAATAGAATAGTATTTACACACACACATGCTTCAGGCCTTCCACTAAACAGTCTGGTTAAAATGCAGAACACAGTTAGCCTCTGAATACTTCTGCTTAACCCACTGTTGTGATAGCATGGATTCCACCTCTCCCTCCCACTGCATACTGTATCTGTTTGGCAGCCAGTTTGCAGATAAAGCAAATTTCAGTAGCAAAGAAGTCATTACGGAGCCCCACCTTTCAGCAGTGGAGTGGAGATGGCAAGTAGAAGTAACCACCTATAAATCCATCAACATTCCATGCATCTTCAACCTCTCCCTCCCAAAAATGAATTGATATAGGGCCCAGAGACCTTTACATTTCTGCACCTTGAGGACTGGAGACAGTTCCATTTATTTGACTCTCAAGAGCATCACAGGCTGCACTAACCTTGTACTAGCGCTAACAAACAACATGGCAGAGAAGTTAAAACTTTGGGCTCTAAAACTGCTTTCCATCAGACAAAAATCCATTAAGTGAAAGAGTCTTGTAAACCACAGCTGACAGTCACGCAAAGGTGATGAATGGAATGAAGCTCTCATGCATTTCTTGGCCTTTCCTGCACAGAATAATTCAGACATAATATATAAATAGAGCAGTGAAACATTTACTTTTTCACCTAGACCTACAACATCAAATACATATAAATAAATTTTAGTGTTTTATTCTGTTTGGGGATGAAGGGGGTAAAGGAGAAAGAGGGATGACCTTTTTCAACAGGAAGAACTATAGTTCTGATGGCATTTACACCAGAGGGACTGAAACATCTCATATCTAGCAATAACCTGATTTCTCCAACACACAGGACCATTCAAGAGTCGTATATGATGAAGGAAAAAGATCTTTGTCTTTGAAAAGACTAAATAGTGTGTCTAGGGGTGGAAGGAAAGAGAAGAGAGGCTTGGATAAGTCTTTAGCCATTAGACTCCGGTCTGATACGATCTTGGGCCAGCTGGGCAAAGAAGGGGGGGGGCAAGAGGGCGCACAATGTAATAAAGAAATTTTAGCCAATTCAATTGATCACAATATTTCAAGGTGAAGATGGGGAGGGAGACAGGGATAGAAGGGGGCTGGGTGACTCACTGGTGGAGTCGTCTTCGGAAAATGTTGGGAGCAGGAATGACAACTAGCAGATGAGAAAACAAGTTTGGGAGATTTCTGAAGGCTCTGTGTGTCGTTAATTCTCAAGGTCTGTACTTTGTAGAGTGCTAGAGACATGCTGACACACTGCTGTAAAATTAAAAATCCACAAAATTAAAAAGAAAGTTCTGTTTTTGTTTTTTTTAAAAGTACCAACCTATCCCAATCCCTTCAGGGTTCTTTACCATGATCTGAGGGGACATTACTATGTCTAAGTTAGTTCAGGTGTCTAAGATCTTTCTAATGTTATTGTATAAACCTGATTTATACCTAGCTTAAAACTTCAAATGCATCTCTAGAAAATCCTGGAGAACCTGCTCTTCTAAAAAAACACTTTCAGACCACTTCCCAATTACATTCTTTGTTCAAAATGTCTTCTTTGGAACCACCAGCAATTTACCTGCTGCCATCTAGCATAGGTAGATGGTACAGTCAGTAGGCTATCATCTACCAGAGAAGTGACATTCTCCTTCCCTAATTTCAGAGTAACAGAGTCCATTCTTTGTTTTTTAAGAGCTAAATAGTACAAACAAGTTAGCTGGAGGTGGTTCAGTTTACTTAAGACCAATATCAGCTTTAGGACCCAAGCACCTTCAGGAACTGGCAAGTCATTCCTGCAAGATAGATAGATAGATACACACACACACAAACACCCAATCAAAAAAAAAAAAAAACACCCTTTCCGTTGGGACCTTTTTTAATATGCCTCCAAATTCTTTTGAGGAAGTGCATACCCACTGTACACAACTGCACCAAAAGGAGAGAACTACTTGTTAGTCTGGGGAAGGAGGAAACACAGGGATGAATCCAAACTGCCGCTATGTAACCATATGCTTGTGATGCAAAAAAAAAAAAAAAAAAGAATTGAATTTGTGTACTATGACTGGTATGCAGAGGGGGGAGGGGGAGTTCCCACTGGTTTGTGTCCATGGGAGTTGTGCAAAAAGCTATGAAGACGAGAAAGAAGCAGAGAGCAAGACCTGGAAAAGAAGGGAGAGTGAAGCTCAGAGAGCAGCCCCTGGGGAAACAGAGCAGCCCCATGAGGCAAGGAGGCATAAAGAATTAGAGCGGCCAAGGGTGGAGCATAGCGAGAGCATCACAGCTACAAAAAGTCGTCCAAATAGACCTGTTGGCTCTAGCCAACTCTTCTGACCCATGCAAGGTGTGGAGATTCATTAACAGATTTTACATGTTGTAAATCCATGATTTACCTTTCGCTGTGCATTTGGCAGTCTCCAAAACAAAACCCAACCCACAAAAACAACTAGATCCAGATGAGCTTGCAACAGAATTTCAGTGCCTTTCCTTAAAACAAAAACGCCACATTTTGTTGTGCACAGGGCACCCCAAAGCTACAGTTAAGTGGTGCGAGTTTCAAGATTAATGCATTGATTTACTATATACCTTTGTTACACATTTACTTCTAAAGCAAGCACTGCTTCTAGCTTAAAACCAAAAT